TACTACTACTACTACTACTACTACTACTACTACTACTACTACTACTACTACTACTACTACTACTACTACTACTACTACTACTACTACTACTACTACATCATTTAAATTGCAGTGGGAAGTATTCGTGATCAGTTGCTTTAGCTACTACTTGCTATTGTACTTTCTTTCTAAATTATGATTGTTTAAGACTTTTCCGCTCCGTCTGTTAAGTACTTTTTTCATTAATACTATAGTTGTTATTGTAATCTTTTTTAGTTGTGAAAGTGTGTTTGTCTGAATGTTTGGTTGAATGATTTTAGCCGCCTAAAAGAATCTTACGTATTATATAAAGCCTCTTTCTTACTTTTAAATACAAAACTTTTTTTCACTATAGAAGAAAAGAAAAAAGAGGAGGAGAGTAAGAAATAGAAGGAGGGCGGAAAGAGATGCTTCAACTGAAAAGTTCCATCCTCTTTTTCAACCTTCTTTCATCCGAAATTCACTTTTAACGCCTCTTCTTCGTTATTTATTTACATTTGTTACTTACACAGAACGAAAAACATTCTGTCCCACCAATTTTCAAACATCATCCTTCATTTTATCCAAAATGTATGCTATCAGTACTGATATAAACATTATCAAAGCGTCTGATAATTAGTATTAATTAACTGCCACGACTATTAAACTGATTCATTCATAATTATGTTACGTGTGAGATCAGCGGGCTCTTTGTAGGTGTCCCCAAATACAGTACTGCGGATAATCAATGAGGTTTCGGGCTTCAACGCCATGCACCTTACCTCACACCTTTTCATCATTTATTGTATCACTTACAGCAGTACACTCGGTTATATGTAAGTTAGAATTATATTTCAATTTCATCTTTAACATCCTAATTTTTTTTTGGATGGTAAGTTTTGATTGGAATAAGCAGGTCTTAATTAGAAAATTCGAAATTGAATGATCGATCACCTGAAATGATTCTATCGAATTGATATTTATCACCCTGGCATTTGCATCTTTCTTTGTAAGAAACACTTTTTGCTTTTGTCAAATCATTAAATTTTATAAGAATTGTAGATTAATTTTTCAAATTTTGTGAAAAATTGGAGGATAATCAGAGTAATTGTGAAATTAGTTTGATAAATAAATTTTGATTTCTTTCTCAAAAAAGTAGCATTCAATTTAAATTGCAAATAACTTTTGATTCTGTCAAATATAAGTAAGACCAAATTGCAACGTCATTTAAACTTTCAAACGAGAGTGGTACTTCTCGGGAAACCTTTGCTTTTCTAGTTTTTGCTAAAAGCATTTAAATGTAGTCGAAATGTGTTATTTAAAATTCAAACGATACGGTATTTTGAAAAAAGAAATTTAGACGATTACTTATTATTTGTTTCTAATTTTATAAATTTCAATCTTACTATTTACTTTCTCATTTGCAGTAAGCCATATCACTTACTGTCATGCAATATACAATGAACTAGTTAAAAGCTTCCAGGTGATACACTGGATAAGTGAAGAAAGTTAATAAGAGAAAATTTTAATCATTCTGCTATTGAAATATAACCTTTTTCGATCACTTTTGGTGCTGTTTATCTTAGCAATAATTTATATACCTTAATACAAAGATTTAATTCAAGTATACAAGTATTCAAGTAACAAGTATTCGTCTTGTCTGGATATCAATGGAACAATTTAATTTGATGATTGCATGATGGGATAACAATTCAAATGCTTCATCCAGCACATAGAAGTTATGACAACCACAGCTGATATGACATGACGTTTATTATTCAGAATGACAACCCATCAAATATAAATTGATTAATCATTTCTATTTCTATTTCCATTTCCATTTTTATTACGTCGGGAAAATTTTAATATCAGAAAAATTTGCGCATTAAATTGGCTGTTTGTCAAACATTATTTTGTCATTTTAAGAAATATTGCAGTTCTCAGATTTTCCTCAAATTCAGCGGATAATTGGACAGGTTTTATATTTTATATAATGATGGGACAAGTTTTATGCAAATTTGTGCGGAAATTACTTTAGTAAAGGTCATCTATTAAAATTATTTACTTGCCCTGGGAATTTTACCAATGGATGAATTGTAGGAAAGTTCGGGAATTCCACTACTTTTTTGAAATAGCAAAAAATTATATTAAACGTATCATATGGCAAATATAAGGAATATTAATTAATGTAGGGATTTTTAAGTTTAATTGGATCATGCAAAAATCATTTTCTCTTCAAACAGTTTTTTAAAAGGTTTCATCAAAACTTTTTTTTTTAATCGACGAAAATAATTTTGTTCTTGATAAATTGTGAGAAAAAAGTATACTTTCCACTTTGTTTTTTGAACAACTGTTTGCTGAAAGTTTTACAAACGTATTGTTCTCTATAGCAAATACTTAAAAATTATAAAATATACAAAAATAGATGAACAAATAAATCAACAATTTCAAACTGAAAAATTTAACGAAAATTATTGCAATTTGATTTATTAAAACTACGTGGAAAAGTGAAATTTTTGCAGCTTTCTGTTGCTAAGTCCGAATATTTTTAATGTTTAACAAAAATTTCAAATTTTTTTCAAAAATGATGAACCAAAGTTGAAGATTTGTTTATTGTTAAAAAAGGAAGAGAGAAATTTCATATTTCCTTGACTAAAATTACTAAATTTCATTCAAAAAGGATTTTATTAAAATGCAAACTTAAAATGCAAAATATTCATAACGAAAAATATTTGAAAATTGTTTAATGAAATTGCCTCCACTACAAAATTTGTCTGAAATTTAAATTTAATGCCAAATTTAAGATAGCAATCATTTGCTTCACTATATCTTTTGCTTTTTTTTTTCATTGCTGATATAGGAGTGGAAGTTCGTCAGAAAGCGCTTTTATTGCAAGAAACAATTCAAAGTTAGGTTTTATCCTTAAAATTTCCGTTACATTTTTTGCTTTTTTTATTAAAATTTTTTAAAATTTTAAGTTTTTAAGCAAAACTGAAATATTTCACTTATTCCCAAAGCTTTTTCAATTCCCAACGCATTACACTCTTGTCACATACATTTGCAAGTTGTTCCAAGTTGAAATTTTATAGTCGCCGATCTTTGATGAATGAATATTTTAAATTAATGATTGCAAAATATACATTTAGCTAAAATTCAAGGACAAAAAAAAAAAATCGTTGGTGAAAATTTTAAATCAGAGCTTTTTCACGCAGCGATTATTAATAACTATTTTTTTAACAAACAAGGGGAATATCATGAAATTGTTAATTGTGCATAGTTTTTGAATGATAACTTTTTTTTGAAAAAAAAATTTGCAATATTATCCATCATTTGTATTACCTATCACTTATTTATCATTTATTTTGTTCTTGCAAAAATCAATTTGCTTTTTTTTTTTAAAAAAAAATATTCGAAATAGCAATCATTCTTTTTGTTCATGTAAAAATCAATTCATTTATATTTAGTTATTTCCAAATGAACATGAAATTTTCCCTTTTACTTCGAAAATTAAATTTTAAATTTTATAAATTCCAAGTGTTCAATTTGTTTTTTTTCCTTATACCTTCTGGATAGTTATTTCCTCTCAAAAGTTTCGTCATAGATGAAGTCTCAAAAAATGAAGATTAAAGACAAAGTATATTTGAGTGGGTAGTTTGATTTAATTAACTGAAACTTTGTTCACTGTTAAAGAATGACGTCAGAAAATTAGATTTTGAAGAGCACTTGAAAAAAGATTAATGAATGGATTAAAGGATATGGAAAAATTCTCTCCTTAAAATGTTGTATTTTGCAGCAAATTCTAATCCTAACCCTAATCTTTATTGATAATGTACTCTATCAGTAATTAATCAGACTATAAATATTATTGGATCCTCAAAAAGTTGTCGTTTATTTCAAAAAATTCTCTTTCTTTTTCTTTCAGTACAACATATTTCACTAGTAATGATGGATTGAATGTTAATTAAATGCAAAACAATTAAAGTGCTACAACAAATTAAAAATTTTCAAATTTTGCTATTTCATTCCCATTTTTTAAATTCAAAATTATGCTAAATTTCAAAAAGACAAATCTTAATTTGTACAAAAGTTTAGAAATTATGATAAAAATTTGCGTTACAGAGGGTATCCGAGCAGTACAACTTTCAATACAACAGCAATCTCAGATATCTTGAATCGACTTGTCGATAAATCCACTTATGATAAAAGATTAAGGCCTAAATATGGTGCTGAACCGGTTGATGTAGGTATAACTATACATGTATCCAGTATCAGTGCTGTTTCTGAGGTTGATATGGTATGTTATCTTTGAATTAATTTAAAACAATTTTGTTACAATTATCGTTTTATTGCATTTATGTACTTTAATTAATAATTCATTTTTCCTTCTTACTCGATCTTTCCATTAATATAATTAATCAAAACAACTTCAACATATATATGAGTTATCTTTTGTTTTTCTTTTTGATTCGTTGACTCTCATGATGAAATATGCAGCAAACAGATGAAATGAGTCATCAAATAATTCGGCTTTAAACTTTGATAAAAACTAGTATTAACACTGGGAATGAAATTTTTTAGATTAAAAAAAAAAGTTTCAACTCATTAGACTTACCATTCAAGAAAGTTTCTGATCTCACTTTGTTATCTTATCAAATTTATTGTGGAATTTCTGCTGTTAACTTGTTACTATCGTGCACAATTACTACTATGTACAAAATAATTTGTATATAATATATTGTGTAACCCAGTCATGCTCCAGTGGATGCTAGTTTAACTTAGCCTTGACAGCAACTGTCCTGGCCAATCAATATATCGTTAATTAATATCTCTTGGGGACCGCATAACTTCGATAAAAAAATTTATAAATTTTCCAAAGGGAAGTAATTTTGTCAAATGCGTAAATAATAACTTATCAGTTAGTGAGGGTTGGATTTAAAAGTTTTTGTGAAAAATTCAAATCCATACTGTTACTTTGATTTAGATTAAGAATGAAATGATTGTAAATATTTAATGAATTTTTAGTTTTAAACATCAATGTGTCACTTTTTTTCCTCTTCTTTTTTTACTTTAATGTCATTATTTGACAATTAGAGAATATAAAATTTAAATTTCAACTAAAAAGAATTAGTAAAATAATAAAACAAAAGAATTTCAATGATTATTTCGTCTGAACGATTATCTCAAAGATTTTGAAAAGGTTGTAAAACCTTTAATTTGCTTTCAAATCGACATCTTTCAGTACATAAATTTTTTATTTCCCAGGAAATCTTCCATTTTGTTCCGTAAATTGGCCATAATAAGAAGTGCTATGAAATCAAACAATATGAAATACAAAATGAAATAAATTTAAATATATAAATGAAGAGAGTTTTATAATTTTAGATTTTTAAAGTTATATCTATGCCAAACTATTCGATATATTTATTCGAATGCAGTGTGTTACTTTTGGTGATTACAATTTTATATCATAATAATCGATCACCGTTAAATAGTTCATAAATCAAAATGGACTGTTAATTGATTATGTGATTAGATGTTGCCAGGCGTACTGATAAAATATCATGGTAAAAAGAAGTATCCTAAAATATTGATTTTGTTGGTATAATAAAAACGAAAAAAAAGGAAGAAATAATGAAAAGGAAGTTTTGTTTATGAGTAGAAGAGATGAATTTTCTTTTATCTCAAATATCCACTTTTTCTCATTCTAGGAATAACTCATTTATTCACTTCCTTGTTTATGTTTACGTACTAAATTGCTTTCTAATTTTGCTAAAAATCATCGACCATCATTATATATGTCTAATCGAAAAAAGGAAGATTAAATTAATTAATATTTAATGTTAGGTTTATCTTATACAAATATCATAAGTAAGTAGCATACTACAGTAGGCATAATTTGAAAATAAAATTTTTAGATGAAATTATTGAGGCATTTAAAAGTGCCACCAAATATAACAGCAATAAAGAAATTACTGTCATTTTCTTGTCATCAAATATTTTAATTACAAGCCACTAGTGTATTAAGCTAATATTAAATTTTTATCACTGATATGAAATACTTTCTTGAATTTTTAAAAGAAGAAAAACGATCTTTGTTACTGATGCATATTTCATTTCCTCTATTTTTTTTTTTTTTTTTTTGGCAAACTTACCATTATTATTTAAAATTTTAGTGTGCTTCCTTCCTCTCACTTTTTTCGCTTCTTTTTTTAACAAAAGTTAAGCTGACATTTGTGAATGAAACTTGAGCTCTCCTTTGCCGACCTGCTCATTTGATGGCTTTCTTGTTGTTTCAGAAATAATTTTGAGGTAAAATTATCAGAATGAATCAGCACTGATAATGATGATATCAAAATTATTCATTACAATTTATATCACTATCATTCTATAATTTTCATTGCAATGAAACATTTATCCGGTTGATTCTCAACAATTATCATCATAATCTGTCGTAATATTTCTTCCTCACTTGAATGAATGAATGAGTGAATGAACTGTGGATGGAAGGATGGATGGAAGGAAGGAAGGAAGGAAGGAAGGAAGGAAGGAAGGAAGGAAGGAAGGAAGAAAGGAATGAAGGAAAGAAGGGATGGCGTTGAAAAGGAATGGTTTCTAAAGTTGAGTTTTGACAAGAAAGTATCAAATAAAATATATTTAAAATTATATTTATGATATAATAAAGGAATAAATTTGAATCATTTAAAAATGACATTGCTATTTAAAAAAAAAAAAAGGAAAAAAGAAGGAAGCAATTTAAATAATTCTTTAAATATTTTTCTTTAGTTTAAAATTCTATAAAATTCATACCTTTCTTTCAAAGTTCTAAATGTAATTTATTAAAAATTCTATGCAAATTTTTTTTTACTCAACTTTTTCAGTCAAAGGTTTGGAAATATAACTTATAATAAATTCTTTGAAAACTTTTTCAATATAACTTTTTATAAAATATTTTCTTTGAAGGTTTACAAATATAATTTATTAGAAATTTCCTGCAAATATTTTTCACTATAATTTATAGAATCATCGTTAATGCATGTCTACTATATCATTATCGATTATATATCTGATATCTCATTACTGATTATGTCTGATATATCATTATCGATTATATATCTGATATCTCATTACTGATTATGTCTGATATATCATTATCGATCATAATGTGAGTAGAGTCTGAGAAGCATTCAATAAAATCATCCAATATTAGCAAAATCTGCAACAAATTTACGAACTACCATTATTAAATCATTTGAAAAGGAAGATTGCATTGTTGCAAATAGCTAAATATGAAAGAGAAGATATGCAAATTAGGATGCACTTAAAGGAAAAATTGAAATCTTTAAATAGATTTTCATATTGCGAGACCATCTCGAATAATTTACTAGAAATAGAAAGTGAGATACACTAATTTAACTTACTTTTTCTTTTTCATAAATTTAATCTGTAATTTACAAAAAAAAGAGAACTTTACTTGTAAATTGCTTTATTTGCTGAAATTAAATATTTATAAAGAAATAATCACTTAATGCTTTAATCAGTGCGTTATTAGCTTATTTTCTTATATTTGAAAATTTGATTTCATTATCTTGAAAGTTTCAAATTTACTATTTCTCTTCCTTTTTTTTCGTTTCAGGAATTAAATATGCAGCAAAATCTGTTTGGAAATTTTTTTAAAAAAATGCATAATTGATTTTTGGGAAATATTTTAAATTCTAGGATTTCACACTTGACTTTTATTTGCGACAAACATGGCAAGATCCTCGTTTAGCATTTGGTGATATGTATTATGGCTATCAAAAGGGAAAAATTGAATCTCTGACGGTATGTATATTCGATTCATTTCAATTAAATCTTTTCTATTTCATGCATAACAGACCAACATAAATGATAAAGATAGAGATTTTGGAAGTAGTCAGAGTGGCTTTATTTTGGATTTAACTTTAAAATTTTTTTAATTTATTCCTTAAGCGATAGTTTTAAACTTTCCTAAGCTCTCATCTTCCTTCTCTTCTGTTTTCTTTTCAATGTAGCAGCAAATTGATTAGCTTTCAAAAGAGAAATGCAAAAATGAACAATTTTTCCTCTTAGTAAAGTAAAGAGAAATGAATATATGTTCACTTGTAGCATAGTTCCCTCAAAAAAAAAAAAAACTTTACTTTTGAAAAATGACATAAATGAAGTTTGAATTGAAGATAGCAACAAATTTTAAAATGCTTCAAAATTTTCTTTTTTTTGTATTAGTTTGGAAAACGCTTCAAGTTTGTATGCGATGCGCAAGAAGTGATAAAATGAATTTATTTCGAATAAAATCATTTCCATTCTTAGGGAAGAATCAAAAGGAAGGAGAAAATATTGTCAAGTTATTTTGCACATTAATAGTTAAAAAAAAATTCTGAAATTATTTTTATTTTTAAAGTTCAAAAAAAAATTTCGGTAAAGTTCTTTCTAAAGTTCGAAATAAAACAATACGAGCAATATTACGTTGAAACAAACATTGCCAGTCTATAATCAGCATTATCACTTATCATTTCAGGTTGGTGTAGATTATTTGGAGAAGCTTTGGAAACCGGATACATTTTTCCCCAATGAAAAGAAATCATTCTTCCATACCGCAACAACGCATAATTCCTTCTTACGAATCGATCCGGACGGCACCGTTTTCACTTCCCAAAGGTTTTATCATATTTATCATTATTACCTATTTTTTAGCAGAAGTTCAATATTTTTTCCTCAAAATTTATTGATTAACTTTGTACACTTAAAAGCTTATATTATCATTGCCACTATCACCCTAGCAAAATCACTATAATTGTCACTACTAATTTATATTGTCACCATTCATAGCCATAGTGAGATCACTATAATTATCATTATCATGATCAGCATGAATATCGACACTTTAGAAGAAATCAAGCAATAACTGCTTTATTTGGGACTAAAATTTGAAAAGTAAAACAAAAAGATCAAATCGCAATATATTTATTAGTGTCATGTTAATCAACTAACCGATCAATCAATCAATCAATCAATCAATTAGTCAATCAGTCTATCAATTTTTTGGATAATCAACTAATCAGTTAAACAATTTCTTAATTAATCAATCAGCTCAATCATTCTTTTAATAACCTATCGATTATTCTATCCTTCTCTTTTTTCGCCCCTTTTTCCTGTTTGCAGTTATTTTATTTCCTTTCATTTCTATCATTGTTTGTTTGAAAAATAATCCAACAGAGTTAATTTAATCCCTTGCAAAGCATTAAAAAAAGGAAAAAGAAAGAAAAATGCATGTGAATATTAAAGTAAGGTTGTACTTCTCGAGATATCCTTTATACAATACATTACATTATCACTATTTGTTATCAATTTATCACATCACATTAGATATTAAAGATTCACAAGGTTGTACTTCTCGAGATATCTTCTATGCAATACATCACATTATCATTATTCGCTCTCAGTATATCACATGACATTAGACATTAAACATTCACACTAATTGAACAATAATTCTCTCTTCTTCCTTTTCTTCATCAAACATCCTTTATCTCAAATTTCTAACACTCTTATCAGTCGATGATATTAACAGTAGCAATAGCATTTAATTAGTACAGAAAAGAAACCCCATGCTACAATTCTTTTTTTTTTTCATTTTTAATAATTAGTATAGGATAGAACAGAATAGGACGGATAAGATAGAATGGGATATAAATGGAAAAATAGATATTAAAGAAAAAAGATTACATAAAATTCTCTTTTTTTTTATTTGACAATTTATAGATATGCATGAGAGAGATGAATGAGGCTGAAATGAGTGACATTAAGGCTTAAAGGAAGAAATATGAAATTTGGTAAGCAAAGCGCAAATGGAAGAGAACCAAGGAAACCATTCTGTTCAATGAGCTTAAATTTTGATAAATAATTGAAATTCCCTTCATGATTTCCTTCATTTCTAACTGAATATGTTTGAAATTTTGCTTGAAAATTTGTATAAGAAATTTGGCGCGCAAAAGTTTTGTTTATGCATATTGCGCAACAATAATATATCAATCCTTTTTCCACTTTTCAACAATCATACAAAACAATAATCATTCATCTGAACGATTACTATTTTAAAAAGTGCTAATTACTTTTCCATTATTTGACTAGAAAAATTTCCATTAATTTGCATTAATTTACATAAATTTTTTTTTCTGACTTTCCAAATAATAATCATTTCGATATTTCAAAATAGAGATAATCAGCTATATTCTGTTTACTTGCATTCACAACAAACATAACATAAGTCTTCCAGGGCTATAGCAAGTAAAGACTAATTTATTTCTTGTGAAAAAGAAACGAAGCATCATCTTATCAGTTAATATCAATGAAAATAATCAATCCTTGTATCACATTTTATATGCAAATGATAATTGTGAAGAATTGCTGTAAATTCAAATTTCTGACAATATAAAAATTAAAATGAAATTATTGAAAAAGAAGACAAAAATGAATGCCAAAATAAAAATCCAAAAAAAAAAGAAGAGATCTTAAATCAAGAATGATTTGATAGGATTCTCAATGGGTTAACATCAATGAAATTCAGGCTCATTCTTATTCAGATTAACAGTGACAGCAACATGTCCCATGAAACTGCAACTTTTCCCGATGGATTCACAGAAATGCAGACTTGAAATTGAAAGTTGTAAGATTCTTTTCCTTTTTTAAATTTTTGAGTGCTTTGCTCTAAGCTCAATGATAGTATCTTGAAAGGTTAAAAAAAGTGCGCGTCACATTTACATAATTTTTTCTCAGATAGTCAAAAACTTCCAATTTTACTCAAAAATCGATAAAATTTAAACTTACTTGTAATTTAATTTGTTAATAGTCAAAAAATGCTTCCTTTCATCTGAATGTAAAGACGTCTTAAACTGAAATTTCAAATGAAACTGTCTTTTCTGCTTCGTAATTAAACTTGTTTGGTCCGGAAAATTATTTTCAAATTGAATTTGTGTTGTCACACACTCATTATATAGAGTGCACCAGTGTCTTTCATTTTATTGTTTAAACTTTTTGCTATTTTTGGTACAAATTTAGTTTTGAATTGTTGAATTGTTTCGTTTCTTTCTTCAATTATTTGCCATTATTTTCGTTTCATTTTTCTGAGAAAGAACAATTGAAGGTTAAAATTTATTTTAATTAATTTCATCCATATTTGTAATGAAAGGTTTAAAATTGAATTATATATAATTAGCGATTCTTAACGGTAGTATCACATAAATCTATTTAAAGCAAAATTCTGTAATATTAACGAATGTATTTTCCATTCATTAAGCTTTAATGGTTTAAATGATTTGGAATATTTAGTCAGACTAATGCTCTAAATTATTATCATTATTTTATTGTCATATATACTAAGATATGGTAATACTTGATAATTAATAACAATGATAATTGGAAAGTGTTATTATTGAATGCTGTTCAGTGTATTTGAAAAAAATTGTGATCATACAAAAATGGTTATGATTGAGTGACGCGTTGTTGCGAAGTTTCATGTAAGTTTAATTTTTTTCATATAAACCATATTGATGACACAAATTTTGAATGTTTAAGGTAAGTTTTAATTAAATAACCTTCTACTAATTGCTTCACAATTAATGAGTGCATTCAGTTGGCGCTAACCTACATAATTACCATCATTTCATAACAATTAAAATGGAAAACGATTCTATGAAAATTTTAAATAATTTTGTTTAAAAAACATAATATATGTTAACTGAATGATTTGGAATTGAAAACAATAGTTGGAAATTTTGAAGTACAACAAAATAAACAAGTTAAAATGCTATCAAATTTTAAAACTTATTTTGCTGTCGTTTTCTTCCTCTTTGCACTTTTTACCATTTATAATTTGATATATTTGTTCTACAAAAAAAAAAAATTAAAAAATAGAAAATAAATGTAAATTTGAGAAGAAAGAGAAGTTTATAATAGTTAAAATATCTTAGAAGTAATAATACCTTACTAATATTACTAAGATTATTTTTGCTGCTTCAATTTGGCTTTTTTACGATTAATATAATGCTTTGGTTATTCCTACACTTTCTGTAACATCTCATTAACATAATTCGAAATTAACAATCTGCCAGTTCATCTTACATTTTTTTGCTTAATTGATTTCATTTCAAGTTATCGAAAAAAGTATACTTGTATGATTGCATATTCTTAGATTATAGTAACCACGGAATTGTTGATATAATATCTTATATATCTAAACATAACACACTTTTGAGGTATACTGATGTTATTGCAAAATAAATGTTTCAAGATACGGTCATTAGATTTACGTATCGGATAATGAGAATCATATTTTCATGACCGTATCCAAAGGTTCTCATTTATGGTTTGACTGATGATTGTAACTTAACCATTAATTATTTCCGTACTAATTGTTTTAATTTTTTTTAAAAAGTTGCCTTAAAATTTAAATACTTTGCATCAATAATAAAAAGGGTATAATAAAAATAAAAAATATAAAAATTTGAACTCTTTTTGAAACAAGTAATTGATTACCGGATAATTTGTACCAAATGAAATTGTGCCAAAATTTTTGAAATTTATATAACTATATAAGAAATAATTTTTAGTATTGTTTTTCATCCTGCAACATGTCAACTTGGAAATTTTAAATTGATGCAAAGGAAATTTTATTTTTTTGCTTTTTCAATTCCCAAATCACTAATTTAAATTATTGTGGCACTTTGTTTTCTTTGCTTTTGTCTAGTATAACAAAATTAATCTAATTACACTCAATAACGCTTCTTTCATTGTTTATGTTTATGCTAATTATTGCTGCTGCTACTGCTGCTACTTACAATTGTCCATTATGACACTGGTGCACATCATTTTCAATTTTTTTTCTTTCCCTTCAATTAAAAAGGGACTACTATTTTGTAAACGAATTTGAAAACATATTTTAGAAACTAAATTTGCCTACTAAATCTATTTTTCAGATGGTTATACAACTGCTGATATTGCTTTATTTTGGGGCAAAGATCGCAGGGATCAGGGTCAAGTAGTCGGGTTCGAAAATATTTCTCTACCACAATTTAAGCCGGTCGGTTATCGAGTAAATGTTACCAGGGCGACGACTTCTTCAGATTAGTCTTTCTTATTCCTTCCATTTTGTCTTCATTGTAATTTTATATTAATTTTATTATTATTATTATTATCAGCAATAGCAACGGCAAGTAAACAACAGTGATAACGTGGATGTGACACAGATAAAATATTTTTTTTTTGTTAATCTAAAAAAAACATCTAAAATTAAAATTGCATAAATAAAAAGAGAAAAAAGATTAAAACTTTTATGTCCGAAGTTGTCAATACTTTCCAAAACTTTTTCCATAACTTAAATGGGATGAATGAATTAGTTTATAGTAATAAAATATGATAAATGTAACTTTTGCTGAATTCACATTTGCAAATAAGAAATGATTTTGTAATTATAATTTAGAATTAAAAACCAAAAATCAAATCATTGAATTTTTGGTGGTTTAAAATTGCTGTAAAAAGAATAAAGAAAAGTTTTACAGCAAAAAAAAGTGGGTTTTTTTTTCATTTCCACCATTAAAATCAAGAAATTTTCGATCGTTCGATCGATCGTTTTTTTTTCTATAATAAATATATGGCCAGGGGAAAATGAAAACTTGGGAAATTACTTCAGAACTAATTTTAGTTTTCTTCTGCTTCTGCCATGGCTGAGCCTGAAGAAAAAGCTTATGTTAGCCTATTAGCCATGTTTATGTCCCATCCAAGTTTATTTTTATTTATCCTTTCCTTCTTTTTATTCCATTCTATATGCTTATATACAACTAAATATAATATATGGAAATTAGTGCTATTCATTCAAAGAAAAAAAAGCTTGGAATTTTTTTAGGAATATATATTTGAAGTGAGTGAGAATAGTACTTAAATATGATGGATGATAAGGGAAATTGGACAAGTTGTCATCCATCAATGATAAAATCATTTCTTTGCCATTTAATAAAAGAAAAAGGGCGAAGAAGATTGGTGGAAATGAAATGCAATCTTGAAACTGCTTATGTAACAATTACATTTAGTTGTAAAAAAAAAGAAGATAGGAAGAAAAGAGAGAAAATGGTCAAGTTTTCAAAATAATTTGTAATTTCTAAAAATTAATTTATGAAAGTTTCTTTTGTTTTTTTTCAATACTTAATTTCTTAACATTTCGAGAAGGAAAAAAGAAACCTTTCAAGATAAGATTAATTTATATTTCAAATTATTAACGTTCAGTGATTTAATTGTGTGGAGTGGAATGAGCAATTTTGTTTAAAATCACAATTAATTCGCTTCATTGCTCTAAATCCTTCAATATGAAGTAAAAAAAAAAAACAGAAAGTAAAATAAATAAATAAAAACGAAACCCAAATAACAAGGAAAGAAATGAAAATAAGTTGAAAAAACTATTAGTAATGCTTATTTGAAATTCAATATACAAGTAATTAAATGTGATCATTACAGGTGTATACGTACGATTATATTTTGAAGTGCTGCTGAGTCGTAACCTCGGTTTCTACCTCATGAATATTATCATTCCTTCGATGCTTATTGTCACCATTTCTTGGGTATCATTTTGGCTCAACCGTGAAGCGTCACCGGCACGAGTTGGTCTTGGTGTTACCACCGTGTTAACGATGACAACACTTATCACTACTACTAATGTAACTTGAAATTTCATTTTTTAAATTGATCTGGGAATTTTGAAATTTAGTGATGATTGTAAAACGTTGTGAAAGAGCTAAAATTCACTTAATCAGGTGAAATATCTAATTTTTTCTCAGACAAAGGAGAGATTTTTAATTGCTAATGAAGTTTGAAATTTTTTTGCTAAATTTGAATTTACAAAATAAACTTAATATTGATTGTGATAGTTTGTGCTTTTGGCAACAATAAATTCTTAAAAAAAAGACTTCTCTGTTAATTAATCAATCAATTAATCGTGTTTTGTTTTATGAGAAGTAGTTTTTTCCCTTTTTTTGTCTCTTATTTTCAGAATGCGATGCCAAAAGTTAGCTATATTAAAGGGCTTGATGTCTTCTTGAATTTTTGGTTAGTTTTGTTCTTGCAGCCAAAACAAAGAACAGTACAATTTGTAGCCAGAAGTTGCAGTCAGAAGTTTTAAGAAGACAAGTATTGCTTTGTTTGGCTTGTTTCAAATACTTTAAATTAGCAAGAATTTTGGCATAAATCAATTTTGTAAAAAGAAGCTTTCTTTTGTATTTACAAGAAAAAATGGAAATATATTTCAGTTTTGTGATGGTATTTGCAAGCCTAATTGAGTATGCAGTAGTTAGTTATATGAACAAAAAATTGGCGCAAAGGCGTGAAAAGAGGCGCAAACAAGCGGAACAACGAATGCCTGTTGAAATGCCTATGTATAGTCAAATTACTTCCAGTGCTGAAACAAAAATGGTACTATTTCCGCCATACTTCAACATTACATCTTGTTTATCCCTAATTTAAGCTTAAAATAAAGAAGCGAAAAAAGTTTTTCAAAAAAAAGAAGAAACAAATTAAACCAAATAATGAAAAGTTAGCCCTGAAAGAGTAAATATTATTTCAGTCATATCAAAATATGACTCTTATCAATGATAACTATGCCTCGCCGGGTAAATCCTCCATCAAAGTAAGTGATCTAAGTAGACTGCACCACCAAGTAGTTTCTATCTTTAGCTACCACTTTGCTACCTACCGGTGCACATTATTTTCTACAGGAAATTTATGGGTAAAAAAAGTCAAACTTACTCATACAGGTAATTTAGTTAGCAATTACACGTGATTTATTTAGCAATCATTTCAACGACAAGCATGCTTCGGATTGTCATGGAATTAAAATTTAGCAATTAATTTTGATTAAATTTGAATCTGCAAAAAACGTCAGTGGTCGTAATGAATTGCTTAGAGAAATTCTAAATCTAGAAGAGACGAGTTTGTTTAGTTTAGACTAAATAATATATTGTTAAGTTCACTAGACCGTAATAATTAGTAGTAGTAGTAGTAGTAGTAGTAGTAATAGTAATAGTAGTAGTAATAATAGTAGTAATGGCGGTAGTAGAAAAGTGGGTTAGTTTGTTAAGAATAAAAGAGATTGCTATTTTAGTTAATTAAAACGAACAATATGAAATTTGCACTGTTAGAAAGATAATTAGCATCACATTGCATGCAATAGCAAGCTAACGGTATTGTCTAAGGTGAACACGTAAATGTTTTCATATAAAATGCATGATATGGTCATTATTTATTAGTAATTCTAGATTTTAAACTATTGATTTTTTTACTTTTCAGCCAATGGATACGTTCCTTGCTGGTCCAGGCCAAAATACCATTGTAAGTTCTTTTCTAGGCATATTTGTGATACGGGATATAACTTATTAATGAACAATCTTATCATTTATCGATTAGTGCATTTGTCTCCTCCATTTTTTGGAATTTTCCTATTATCATCATAAATCGATGGAATTAAATGAGGAATGCAAAGTTTTTGTTTATCTAAAGTTAACTTGCAGAGTGTAACAGAAGCGATGATGCCGGAATGTGATTGTCGTACGATACCACTGATACAGAATCCACGGTTGGTTACAGATCGAGCATTATGGCCGGCACCGTTCGTGAAACCGAAACGAGCATCAAGGACGTGTAGAAGCGTAACTCCGTCTAAAATTGATAAATGTTCTCGCTTCTTCTTTCCTATGCTATTTTTCGCTTTTAATTGTAAGTTTTTATGTTTGACAAATTTGGCGGAAAATTTTCAATATTTTTTTTATTGTTGATATAACCATAACGCGTTAATAATAATATCTGTAATTAGCATAATTTCTGCTATAGAAAAGAGAAAATCGATTATCCCATAATAAACTATAAAGTATTTATTCCAATAAAGAAAACTTAAATAGAAATAAATTTAATTTAAATTTGCAATTTTCAGTATTTTATTGGACAATTATGACAGTGCTTAGTTCATTTGTGGATACCAGTGAATATACACTATTTGATTAGAAAGCAGACAGGAGCAATGTCAAATCACATATCTTTTGATCAATTCTATCGAATTTTTATTTCTTCTTTAAAACAATTACTGTGAATTGATAAACTTAATAACTTATTATTCTTGATAATTAATGTATATTCGTGTAGCTGCAAACATTTCACTTCATTTTACGTGATTATATGCAATATTTAGACATAATGCATGGCATGCATATGCATGTTTCTCGCCTTGCAATCAATAATTATTGCTATTTTAATTAATACCATGATTATGATTTGATATTACTACAATTACAACACTGTACTAATTAGCTTTGTAATATTATATATGAATAGACCTGGTGCATTTGGCCTTTTTTTTTCATTCATTTTATCTTTCCATTCTCTATTTCACCGATTTTTTTTTCTTTTTAACATTATAACAAAATGGATTGTTTACGAAATCTGGATATCTGCGAAATATAATGATATGGAAGAGGATTAAAAGATGCAAATAATTTTTAAACGATAGATTTTCAAGAAGCAAATGAGAGTTCATGCAATCATCTGCAATAAACATGTTATATACATGTAATGTTATAAGAGAGAAGAGAGACTTATGATTTAATTCACAAAATTTTTAATTTTAAGCTAAATTAAATATTTTTAACTTCCGAAAAAGCCAAATTTATTTTGAGATATTTATTGACAAAATTATTAAATAATGACAAATTTCGTGTAGTCTCTCTTAATGATAACTCCAAGTTAAACTATTTCATTTCTCTTTCAATTTTATTAAAAATTTGAAAGAAAAAGAAATATAATGTAATAAAAGAAGAAAAAAATTGAGATGGTTACACTGTTGCAACAATACATTATCATTGGTGTCAACTAAAAGATGTCCACTGCAAGGCGGCTGTCAAAGTTGAACCATTTGAATTGACCAGTTATCGTTTTGCCAGTTTATGCATTAACAAAACAATCGCAACGACTTCATCTGGTCAGTTTGGTATTATTATTATTATTATTATTATTGTTAAAACATTTTCTACCCATCATATTTTAGAACTATTTAAATGCAGATCACAGGTTATTTCGAGACTAAACTAGTATAAGATACTTTGACCACGAAAATTTTTAGTGCATTATACTGAAAATAACATTTGGGGACAAGAAAACAGAATAAATTTTAAGGGAATAAAAACTATGTTTTTTGTAATATCACCAGTTATCAGCCATTATAAGAAGTAATATCTCCTTCAGTCACTTTAAAAAGTATTACAAATGTACATTTAACAGTTAAGAATGGCAACACATATTAAACTGTAAATTGATTTAAAAAGAAAAATGAAGACTAATTAATGATGAAATTTGTTCAGGTTCTTATTCGCGATTATGGGCGCAGTTTTTGTTCGAGAGGGAATTAAGCTTCTATATGATCCAGATTTATCTACCTGCGATACTTGTTGTTTTCATTAGCTGGGTGTCATTCTGGATCAATCCTGAATCAGCTCCATCCCGTACGGTCATTGGCACATTCACTATATTGAGTGAGACTCATCTCTTAATGAGTACAAACAGGCGACTTCCACCTGTTTCCTACATTAAGGTTGCTTATTTCAGTAAGTTTCGAATAAAAATTTTGACTTCGTATTCTCACATGAATTTTATTTTAATAAATTTCTTGATGTTTCAGGCTGTGGATGTTTATCTTGGATTTTGTTACTTGATCGTGGTATTAGCACTTATCGAATACGCCGCCGTGGTGTATTCAAGGAAGAAATACGAAGATCGGAAGAAAAACAAAAGCAAAAATATCTTCGAACTTAAACCACAAATACAAGCACCAGACTTGCTTCAAGGTATAGTAAACAGAAAGATTGCAACAAATTCCATGTTATCAATAAATTGCAATTTTATAGATGCTCGTATTGATGAATGCACCTGCGAACACAATGTTTCGGTATTTGTAGTAGCTAAACGTTCATCGAAATGCGGTAATTTCTGTACGCATAGCCGAGTGGACCTAATCGCTCGAATTGCATTCCCTGTTTCGGTCTGTTATTATCTAACTTTAGCAGTCTTCCTTTCCTTTCATTTCTGCAAGACACTACTCACTCCTATATTTCACTGTTTTCGCAACTTTTCCCATAGTGTTATGGAAACTTTATGAAAAATTCAACAAACTGTTTACAACACAAAGTGACAAGGTTACCGAGAATACAATCCAAAACTGAAAATTAAGAAGATAAGCTCAGCCGAAACGGTGATAAATTACTTCTGAATAAATATATATATTTCAGTTTCTCACGTTCAACATAATTTACTGGACAATACTTCTTTCCTTATCAGGATGGAAAATGCATGGAAACGGCACGGAACAACAAGCATGTTAATACCATATTAAGGATTTGTTAAGATTCCAGAATGCTAAGCAAGTGTTTGAGTGATGCTAAAGCCTTTCGCCCACAAATACTTTGCGAAGCACCATTAAAACGTCTAAGTCTATCACCCGATTTCCAAAGTTCAGTGTTGTTGCATAATTTTTTCAATACTTCGGTCAAAGATTCTTGTAAGCGGTTCTGGAATAATTGCATCAAATAAAAAATCTTCGTTTTTTCAATTTTATTTTGAAATTCCAATATTCTAGTGGAAAAAAAAGATTACAGCAAATATAATCTACTGCAAGGAAATAAAAATGCAATCATAATCTTTGTAATTCTTACTTTATTTGATTCCTCGGTAATTGAAGTAAATGAGATAAGAACTCGAACCAAATATGCAAAGAACCGAGGTTTTGAATCGTCGAGATTCAAATTTGAGAAAAACCGATTTGCAAAAACGGATAAACACTTGGTAACTTTTTTCCATATTTTTTGCCGATCAGGCTCTTCGTTTTTCACCTATAATTTAACTTTCTTATTTCAGAGAGTTATCAGCTTCTGTCAAATCTGTTTCGCGTGTTTATCGTCTTTTAGGAGCAACCTTTCGTTTTTTTCCCGTTTTTTTTTCTTTTTTGGATGGAGAAATACTGTGCTTTTGTACTCCTACTTCAAAATGTCAGATCCCAATTCAAATTGTTGCCAACATTTTGCTATATAATTTGCAAACCAAAAAAATTTACTAACTTGTGATTCAAACGCATGAAACAAATCTCGCGTATTTGTTAAAACTATCTTTTCACGTTATTTATCTGAATGATTGCTCATCGTATTAATTTTTGGTATATCTTCGATACAAATAGTAGTAATATCATATATGTGTTCCTTAATTTCAAAATCCCTTTTGTCTGGATTATTTTGTCTTCTTTCGTCTTCTTATGCAGTCTTGTGCAAGTAGTGCCTGTGCTACAGCAAATTAAGTTAACATTAAACCGAAATTTGTCAAAAAAGGCGAAAGCCTGATTTAGGCATACCTATTTACTGGTGATTCCCAAAACTTGAATATAACCTACAGGATTTTGCTCTCTCAGCGTGACTATACATAAAAAGATGTCTTCCACTTTTTTTTTATTTTCATTCCAACAGAGATAACTCTTGCATCAATCTAACATTCAATGTGCCCTTAAAAACTTTCATATCTGTATTATTTATTTTCAAGCACAAAAGTGCATATGAATAAAACCCACTGCTCTTATTATAAAAATTTCGAATATTTGTTGTCACTAATACATTTTACACATATATAATACTCACCAAATCTTTTCGCAAAAAGGCCACTGTGCAAGACAGAGCTTCAACCTAGAAAAAACTAAACATATATGTTTTTTTCAAGAGATTGAAAAAAAATTAAAAAATGAAAAAAATTTTTCGTTCAAAAAAAAAATTTGTCAAAAAATTGGAAAATATTTTAGAGTAACATGCTCGAGTATGAATTTCCACCAGTACGGTTCTCTAATCATTATACATGTTGCTCGTGAAACAAAAATCATGGATTGTTTAAAAACAAACCATAAAATAAATAAGGTAATTATGAAATGATATCTCGAAAACGATAAACATACTCTTTGAAACGTTCGGATATTTTCATCAAAGGCAAAATCGATGATTCGTGGAAGTTCGCTCAACAAAGCATGCTAAAAATTATACATAAACAATTTTTAATTATATATTATAATGATTTAGATTATATTAATCTGAATTTCAAAATAACTTGGAAAAATTACCGGGTACTTAATAAAAGGAGCAGTGACAATTTCGCTTAATATTTGGTTCTTGTTATCATTCATATACTTTTCCAATAATTCCATCACTTTCGTGTACATATTCTTCATAACAGTATTTTCTTTCGTATCATAACAGCCTGAGAACTAAAACTGGCAATGTAGAAACTCCTATTCGCTTCTTGTTACCTGCTATCCTACTGTTTTAGAAATTACCAAAAAAAATAATTAAGAATTATCAAAAAAGACTTACCAAAAAACTTGCAACGCTGCCAAGAATATTCCTCATAACAGGATTTACGGTTTGTGATGTTTTCAGGACAAGTTCATCCAATAGTTTAATAGCATTCTTTTCATTTAGCTCATTCTAAATAAATATAACTAGCGAAAGTTTCTATACAAAAACATGAATACACAAGTTTGCACAGTATAATCGACATTTAATACCTTTTTGTGTTTTAAAATAATTTCCAGTAAGTTTGTTGCTTTTTTGAAAGTTAGTTCTCCATCTTTTTTACGCAGAGCTTGTTGAGCACATTCAATTAAAGGCAAAATAAGATCCTGTAAACCACAAAATAAGATCCTGTAAAGCATATAATTTGTTCATTGTTATTCAATTTGGAAGAAATTTAAAG